TTTTTTTTTTTTTTTTAAGTTTTTCAGTGGATCAGTAACAAAAAATATAGTACCGGTAATTAAACTTTATTGGTGCATCAGGCCAACAAATGGCCCCCAATTATGCAGGGGTTCTACTGCAGGCTTTCCTCAGTGTGCCCCCAGAAGGCAGCCTTCTCTTGCCCCCCACACTCCTAAATAGATGGAAGGGAGCACAGTACTCTGTGCACAAACCGTCTCACAAAGGGAGGGTGAGTGCTGAGACTGTGCTCAGAGGTTGAGCCTGCAGCTAGCTGGGATTTGGAATTTGGATGGGGATGGAGAAAAGAAGGGGATTTTACTTGGGGCCAGGGAGCTCTTAGGGAGGAAGGGTGCCTGTGGGGATAGCTGGTGGGGACCCTGGGGAAGCCCGAGGGCAGGAGGGAAGTGGAAGGTGCCACTGGAAGTGGAGGGTGCCAGGAGGTGGGAGAGGGTAGAATTGGGGGTGGGAGGACCCAGAGAACAGTCTTTCTCTCTTTGCCGTTTTGCTTAGGGCAAAATCATCCCTCTTGCTTGGCCTATAGAAACAAGGTTTATTAGTGGCTTTTTGGGTCAGAAGATAATATTTTTGGCTCTAGATGATGGGAAAGCCTTTGAAAAGCAAAAGAATGTCTTTCCTGTTGTTCCAGTAAGCCGATTTTTTGCAACTAGTTTATGACTCCAGTACTTCAATACTTAGCAGATTATTTGAAAGCTCTTTTGGGGGTAATCAGGGAAGAAAAAAGAAACACATACAAATGCTTCCCACCCCACCCCCTTCTTTTCATAGTGGGAGCAAGAGCCAGTTTGCAAAATCAAAACTAAAGTCCTTCCAGTCTTAAGCCAAATGAGAACGTGTTCTCGTCAACACCTCATTAAACCAAGACCTGAGAAAACAAACATTTGTGTGAGCCTGATTGAGGCCTGGGCCACATTTACTCCAAGCATTTTCTCATAGGCTGGATTCTAAAATAAGAGAGTAGATCCTACACCATTTCTCTCTAGTCCAAGAGGGCACATACATATCTCTCATGTCAAGTCTGATGGATTGTGGGGTGGCCATCATGGATGGATTCTGGGCCTGCTTCTAGGCTCCAGGTAAAGTGAGTGATCATTGATGTCTGCTGTGAGCAAGGGCCTGGGGAGTCCTTGGACTGGTCCACCATTCTCCATCTGTCTGCACCTGCCTGGGGGCGGTTTTCAAAGGCCTGGGCTGCACCCACAGGGATTCTGATTCTGTTGTTCACTGTAGCCCACATCAGTATTTACTCGAAGTGCCCAGGTGATTCTGTTATGCAGCCACTGGTCTAGTCTTAGACTCGTTCCCTGAAGCACAGAC